TGCACCGAGATTGACGAAGCGCCCGGCCGAGCACCGTCCCGGCTCAGCAAGCAATAAGGTCAGAGAGATGACCACTGCCCCAATGTGTCGCGTATCAAACACTGACCAAGTGCAGAGGGAGAAACTTGGCGATCCCCCACTGCCGACATCCGCCCCAGTATGGCGCTGGGCACGACTTGCTTCGGTATGAAGGATACCTCGTTCCTGTCATGTATGCAACCCTGCTGACGAAACGAACAGAAGGCCCGGCCGAGGCCGAAACCTACCCCCACCGAGAACACCGCGGCGTGATGACATGGCGCGAGCAAGGTCCATTAACATGCCAGGGGGAGGTGGGAGAGGTGGGAGGAAGGGAAATGACCGCACATTCTGTCGACTCTCCTGATACGCATGTAGTGTAGGCCAGTCACAGATATTCAAAACTTCAAAGATGGGTGCATTTCACAGCGTGCAAATGGGTTTCTTCCCAATAGAAGCGTGACTAGATCTTTCCTGATCCCAAAACTACTATCCTCCACGGACACCGCAATAAGGAACTCCATTTCGCCGACGCTCAAGGTGGAAGTGGGGTACCTGCCAGGTTAACGCTCTTCCATGTGTTCTACGGGTTCGTCGCCGAGAAGATCCAACGTGGTCGTCCAGTGCGGTCCCTGGTCACTCGACCCCGTTAAACGAGCAGGGGGCGGACGGGTGCGCATAAGAGGCGAACGCCTGGCCAGCGCTACCGTGCTTCGTCTCTCTGCAATTATTGCCGTCGGCGAGCCTGGGCTCTCTGGTGACTTGTCTGTATCATTGGGAAGAGCGGAAAGAGCGGGAAGTGGCGCTCCATTGTCCGCGACAGGAGAGCTCCCCTAGATGGGCCTCATCAGGCGCTACCGTACACATGTTAGCCTTGAGAGTCATCTCCAGCCGGGTGTTTACAAACCTGGACGAACGCCGAGCTCCTGCGCGGTTCTTCCTCCAACGTCGCTCCACGGGACTCGCGCGTGGATCAAGGCGCTACAGCTTCCTTTGGCTACATAAGCTCGTGCATCCTGCATATGTTGTGCGCAGACATACCATTTGGGACCCACCATGGCCAGCTGGCGTGTGCGTACTCGCTGGCCTTGCAATGAGTATGTGGTCAAGATCAGATCCGTGAGCGACTGTGGGCAGGTCAGCACGGCGGCGGTCGGCGCGTTGCCGCGACGAACGGATACGTACAGTACAATAGTTTCGAGCAGATCATGGCGGCGGCGAGCGATGGACTGACCCCGGCGGCCGTTGTCTCCTCAAATGCGCGACGGAGCTGCGCACTATGTCAGCCTTGTTGTCAAGAGGTTGTCAAAGGGATGCTTACATGGTCTCTGGCGGTGGCCATGGCGGGTGGAGGGAGGGTGCAGCAGCGATAGTGAGTACGTCTGGCGGTAGGGAGGTGGAGAGTGAGAGTGAAGTGGCAAGTTGGTGGTTCAGTGCAGGAAAGTAAACATCATGTACGTTGATTGTACGCACGGACCGCTAGCGAGCCAGTTGGACCTGGTAAACGCCTTCTCTGTGGGGGAACGTGTGGTTGCGAGCAACTGTAACTGTCCTATCCATGAAGCCGTCTTCCTACGGAAAGAAACCCATCTACGGTGATGATATGCACGGACCACCAGTGCGCCAGTTAGATACATCAAACACCTTGTCTGTAATCATCTCATCTACGAAGTTGTCTCCCCATGGAGAGGAACTGCAACATATATCAGACTACCCCCACAGCCACGCTCGCGGCACTACGTCCCATAATCTTCCTCTGATCCGAAATCCAACTCCGCATTGACCTCGAGCACCTGAACCCACTGCCTGGCAAGGGTATCATCCAGAAGGGTTGGTTCGTGGCCGAAGATCTGTCTGAATAAATGGGAGATGTCTTGCAGTGTCGAACCGGCAGGGATGGAGATGTTCGTCGGCAAGAACTCTTTCTTTGACATGTGGTACATGAGCACCTCTCCTGGTATGCTGAAAGAGGAGACCATGTCGCCACAGACCTTCCGGAACACGCTGCACGCCAGCCCGAGTCTCTTAGCCCCCAATCGTCCAATGATGCAGTAGAAAGTCAGTACAACGCTTCTCGCAATGCTTCTCCTACTAACCTGCGATTGTCTTTATCCTGCAGTGTAAAGATGGGCGTCCACCCAAGTTGTCGCACTAGCTCGTAGTGCGCGTGCGCATATTGAAATTGATCGCCTAGCCGGTTCGCACTCATGATATTTGACACGCTGCAAATGTACTGGCGGATCAAAGTAGTCACTTTGATCCTCTTCGAACCCTTCCGAAAGGGGTCGAGCAGCTTCATGACGTCCTTGTCACGTGCGTGATACTTCCTCTCAATGTCATCAACGATCGAACAGAAACGTATCGCCGTCAGGGCGCGCTGTGTGGCAGTGCGGACCGGTTGGTCCTCTGAATCTTCCCAGACCTGTCGCGCATATCGAAATAGCTCGCTGAAGTGGGGATGCGTCTCACGGAGCGACGCCGCTTCGAGTCGGTCGCGAATCGTAGTGTCGAGGTTGAGGGCGTCCGGGGCGATCTGTAGCGACCTTTTCAACGATGCGACGCCTCTCGTGCTGTAGAATCCGAAAAGAAGGGTTGCCGTCTTGCGTTGCGTCATCGGGTCGTAACTCTTGATCGTCGGATGCTCCTGTGCTCTCTGTTCTAGTAGGCGGGAAAAGTCGCTCTGCAAGGCCAATGTGGCCGCAGTGTCGTACTTGAGGCCGTCGATCGGAACCACGTCGGGGACGGGGGGGCCGAGGCGGGTGATGCTGCTGTCCATGAGCCCGTTAACTAGACGCATGGCCGATAGTCGAGCTGGGAGCTTCGTGGGTGAACTGGGTGGACCCGCCTGCCCGCTCATGCCGGCAGCGGGGAATGCGAAGTTGGCTGCTGGGGGCAATGTCTGCGACCGCTCCCTGCGGGGATATGGGGGCTCACTTGGAGAAGCAGCCCTTGACGCCGCGCCCTTTGGTGTTGCTGGGGGAAGAGCGGGTGCCCACTGGCTTGACATGGGTTCCTGCAGCGACAGCATGGACGCCTCGTCGCCTCCGACAGGTGCCCTGTCTCTTCTTGGGGACGGTGTCTTGCATTCTCCCTGGCTCGAAACATCACTTGCTGTTTCTGCAATCGGTCAGTGACAAGGTGCAGGGCCAGGCGCGAACTTGCTGGCGGGATACACATACCATAGTTGGGCGTACTGAGGGAGAGTTTCGCAGAGTGGAGAAGAAAGAGAGAGGATGTGAGAGTGTCAGGAAGAGAGAGGGCGATCGCGCGCTGTGTATGTTATGAGCGTTTGTTGATGCCGCTAGTACGCGTTGGGCCGGCGTCAGGGCACAGTGAGTGTCGCCGACTATGCCAGGCTGCTGATGGGACATGTCACATGCAGACTCAGTGCCATATCTCGCACATTACTTCCTAGGCATCCTACCTCGTGTCACTCCCTCTGTATTCCCAGAAACCATCCTCCGTCGTCGACCATTCGCACCACAAGCGGCATCGATGCCTCCCACATATTTGGCAGGACGTCCTCCACAAGGCAAACACGGCCTACCAGGGGAGTCCCCTCCCGATCGCAAACAGGTAGTGTTATCCGCTTGTTGACATCACGGATCGGCTCGCTGACATGAGCAGTTTAGGGAAACGCTTCAGAATCTGAAGCGCTCCGATGGAGCAGCAGAATGGCTCGAAGAGGAGATATTGGCCGGTAGAGCATACGGACAAGCGCCAATTCATGCCTGTACTAACGGAAACAGTGATGGGCGATCGCCTCATGCGACGGGGAGCCACTGCGCCCCATACTGCGTCCTACAAGCCATCCATCCAAGTCCTGAAGCGGCCTCCCGCGGTGCAGTCGACACCTACGACCCAGTCCAGAACCCCAGTCCAGAGGCGAGTGAAAGAACAAAGTCGTACCACTCAGTGCCTACCGGGTACCGCCGACAATCCCGTCACGGTGCGCGACACTTCAGGATCACCAACACCAGTGATGACGCCGAACAGCACGGCACGTGTGCACGGTATGGGGAGCAGCACGATTAATCTTCCGAGGAAGGCTCATGACGACCTTGCCGCGTTTGGATCGATCGCAAGACAGCCTACCGCGAGCACACCAGTCACAACAACACAGAAAGGCAAACGGACGGGCGAGGACCAAGGCGGTAGGGAGGGAGGAGATGCAGCGTTTGCAAGACTACAGCACAGGTGGACTGGTACATACCGCGTAATGACCGGAAGTCGATGACGCTCGATTGATTAGAAAAGGGCAACATAGGGAGGCCTGTTTTGACTTATTATGTAGTCGCCATCTTGGCTATCCCTCCATAGAATAGCCATACTTGTACCAATAAACGTATTCACCATTGCGTCCCTGTTTCTATCATTGTCTTCGACGATTTCCGACCTCGATTTCAAGTTGGCTCCGCTGTGGAATTGGCCTGTGGTCAGGAACAGTAGCGATACTATGGCGGAGATAGGACGGAGTTAGCTAAGCGAGATCGTCGGCAGCGCCGACGATCTCGCTTAATCGCGACAGGGGGGTGCACGACACAAGAGCGCTATCTCATTGGTAAGTGATACTCGTAGGGCTATAGAATGAACATCTCTCCTATGGTAGGTCCATTGGTGTGACTGCTTCCCGTTTGTAGGCAAGAGGATCGTCCAGGGAGCTTCCAGGGAGCTTCTGGTACCCTCGCCCTCTCTCTCTGCAGTCACGTGCTTATGCCAAGCCTAGGTAGTTTGTATAGGAGCACCCGTGTAGCGTTGTAGAAAAATAGTATGCAGTCCACTCATCACGTTAACAAGAAAGGATTTGAATCTTCCGCAGAGAATGGACGTACATTCGTGGAACAGGCTTTACTGTGAGCTTGAGGAGGCGCTTACGGCTCCAGTACGTATGACCGGCGAGACCACCCTCTCAGCAACGCCTCTAATTTCAGTATGTAGTTGCTGTGCCCGCCTCCATCGAGCCTGCCTGCAGGGCCCACGGGGGTCGAAGTGCTTGGAATCAACATGCTTCATTTGATGACCCAGGATCGTCCAGTGACGACAACGCTCGCCGCGTCTCTCGTACACGATCTGCTGGACGAAGTCCTTCCTGCTCCTCTGGCCAGCAGCATCTGTCGATTGCTTCAACAGTACCGAGTCATCTATAGGTACACTGCGCCGTTCAGCATCATGCCAACGATAAGGTATGCCACGGAACCGGAATGCTCCGTGATTGCCTTGCGCGATATCCCTGCCTT